CACCCTTCCTCATTCTCTACCCTTCCCTCTCCTCCCTCTATCCCTGCCCCCAAACCTCACCATACAGATGCTGGATGCCCTTCACATCGTCCTCATGCAGCGGGGGCTCCTCGGTGTATCTGTACATGGGGTACATGAGCGCCTCTGGCACGGATGTGTGATCTAAGCCTAGCGCATGGCCGAATTCATGCGCAGCCACAAGGAACAGGCTGTACCCTGGAAGACAAAGAGAGCCTTAGATGTGAGCCCTGGGCCCAGCTCCCAGCCCTGACCGGCCATCCCCTCTCACCCCCAACTACCCCCAGCCCCAGAACCTCGGAACCCTGCCCACCTTGGTCTGGGCAGAAGCCCCACTTCTTGTCGCGGTCGAAGTCCGAGGTGGTGGCACACCAGAGGCGCCCATCACTGCGACCCTCTCTGGTACAGGATGAGTACTCCTTGCCCAGGAAGACGAAGGGGAAAACGCACTGCTCCCCCGCCGAATTGCCCCCGTTCACCGTGGAGTCGACTGGAAAGACCCAGGGCCTTGGGTGAGCCAGGTGGGTGGGTCCAATAAGGAGCCAGGGGCAGGTCAAACAAGGAGCTAGAGAATCTTGGTACCGTTTTTTAAAGCCTAGGGGGCAATGTGCAGCGTAGCTGAGCCCAGGCTAGACTAGTGGGCGGGGCCTGGGGACCTGAGACCAAGTGAGACGCAGCGCAGGCTGGGCTAAAAGCCCAGCCGCAGGGATGGGGCAGGCAACTGGAAGTGAGAGGGCGGGGCTGTGGTGAGGATGGGCACTGTCACAGCGGTCCTGAGGACCAACGACAGACAGGTGAAGGGACAACCTGATGGGTGGAGGTTTCTGGGACCAATGCTGAATCTGGTAGGTGGGGCAAAGATACCTCGGGTGGGGCAGAAGCCATAGAGTTTGTCCTGGTCATAGCTGGCCGTGGTGGCGCACCAGCGGTAGCCATCCGAGCGACCGTCTGTGGTGCAGGCGGAGTAGGAGCGACCCTCAAAAGTGAACGGAAACACGCAGGGCTCGCCGTCTGCATTGCCGTGCTCGGTGTAGAGTCCTGGGAAGGCCGACACATTACCCCGAGTTTATTGACCCACAGGCCACCCGTGTACTCCATCCCTCCTCTCCCCATTTCACAGATGCGGAAACTGGGCCCAGAGCACAGGAGAGTGACTTGCAGGCCACACAGCACTAGTGACAGAGCTGGGACTAAAACCCAGGGTTCTGGCCCTTCAAGGGTGGTGGGCGTCCCCCACCGTCGCCGGACCCCGCACTCACTCTCGCTGGGGCAGAAGCCAAACAGACGGTCGCTGTCGAAGTCGGCCGTGGTGCTGCACCAGAGCAAGTCGTCGGAGCGCCCGTCAGTGGTGCAGGCGGAGTAGGAGCGGCCGTCGAAGGAGAAGGGGAAGTGGCAGGAGGCGCCGCCTGCATTTCCAAAGCGGGTCGGAACCACTGCAGGAGGAGGGGGGCGGGGGTCAGGGCGGAGGGTGATGGGCATGAGGAGAAACGGGAACGGGGGTCGCGGCGGCTCAGGATCTCACCGACGCCCTTGCCCAGAGTCCACAGCTCGTCATCGTCGAAGTGGGCGTCTCCTTGAATTCCCCGGCCAGGAGGAAAGGCGTGTGCCAGGAGCCCGTCTTTCCCGTCGAAGGGATACCCATCCCCGTGCTCTGAGAAAGCAGGCGGGAAGAAGCGTTAGCTGAGCACGGGGACGCGGGTGGTGTGCTACCCAAGGGCACGGGACCGAGCGCGCCTGGCCTCCCCGCGCTGTGCTGTGCCACGCAGGAGGGGGCGCCATAAGGCGGAGCAGGGGTGGGGCGCCAGGGCTGGGGGGACCAGCAAGAGACAGCCGGTCCAGTGCCCCCTCTACTCTGCATGGTCCTCCCTCCTCTGTCCCCGTCCCAGACCCTCTTGGCCTTTCCCTTCTCGCGTTCTCACCCTGAACGCCAAACTGGATGACGATGTCGGCTTCCAGGCCGTTCACGCGAGTGAAGGTGAGCGGCGTCACCGCGCTCCAGACCGCGAAGGCGCGGGCAAAGGCGTCGTCGATCACGTCGCGCGGCAAGTCTTCCGAGTAGTTTTGGATCCTGTGCGGGGGAAAGCAGGAGGACAGAGTCCAGAAGTGAGAGGCGGGAGCACGGGCGACAGCAGCAACACCCTCTGTCTCGGCGACTTCAACATTCACAGCGCTCCCTGCGCTCCACGCTTTCATCCCGAAAGCACTGTCAGACGCGTTTTTCTCTTTGGACATTCACAATAGCTCTGGCAAGTGGGACTCGGATTGTGAGGCCCATTTTCTCCACGGGGAGACGGAGGCTCAAAGGTGGGGCCCCTTGCCCCAGGCCGCACATTTAGTGAAACCCAAGGAAGGGTGTGAGACAGGAAATGTTCATCCGCCGCCCGCGCCCGCGAGGACCGACCTCCCCACCCGACTCCGGCTGCCCCCGAGGGACCCCGCCGCGCACCAGTACGTGATGTTGCGGTGGTGCCACCTGAGGTCGCCCTCGAAGGTCTGGAAACCGCCCACGTCTGGGACACCGCAGCGCGGGGCACGCATGGCCTCCAGGGTGGTGCTGTCCAACTCTCCAGTCTCCGGCAGAGACAGGCGCTTCTGGAGAGTCCGCAGCGCCTGACTCAGGGACTGGTTGTCGTTGCGAAACTCGGCCACTTTAATATAGCCATAGCGGTACAGATACTCCTGTGGATGGAGGGGCAGAGATATCCCAGAACCTTGACTGGGATGGAGGCGACAAGGCATTGTATCTAGGATTTGGTACACTGGACACCAGTGCTGGTGCCTGCCCAAGCATCTCCCCTCCCTTCCCGAAAACCCTGAATGCCCCAGGCCACGCCTACCTCAGGGCTCTCTAGGGTTTACCCCTGTTCAACCCTAGACCATGTCCACTCCAGAACCCTCCAACGCTTCCCAGCACCGTTTCCCATTGCCTATCTAAGAAAACCTCATTAACCCATTCATTCCTAGCCATCATTGCCCAGAGCCTCCATAAGACTGCCCCCCAGTGCCTGATCCTGGACACCCCTGTTCTCTAGACATACCCATCTCCCCCAGTATGCCCCAAAATATTTCCGCTGAGGCCCCATAACTGCAACTCCAGACTGGGGTGTTTGCCTACCTCTGCCAGCTGTGTGTCCGTGAGGCTGGTTCTCAGTTCTCCTGGGAAGACAACATAAGTGGGCTGGTGCCGTCTGGGGCCAGCAGAGCAGCAGCCCAGCACCAGGAGCGTCAGGGCCAGTGGCAGCCAGGGGCTCATGGTGAGGGTAGCAGTGTCTGGCTGCAGCTGCACTCACTTGTGGGGGCTTTAAGGAGGCGCTGTTAACTGAATCAGTGACCCCGCCCCTCCCTGCCAGGCCAGGCAGGGGCTGACTCAGAGGATGGTGTGTGTGTGTGTGTGTGTGTGTGTGTGTGTGTGTGTGTG